TTTTTTTTTTTTTGAAGAGGAAAAACCCGAGCGCGAAGAACTGACAGCACGGGTTCCCATCAACAAATAAAGGCCCACAGCATGATATATATATTTCTTTTCGAGGCCCAATTTGTATTGCCGCGTTTGAAATTACGTTACGAAGCAAACGTCGATTCGATGCTGTGTATCCAGGCGTACCGTCGAGAAAACATGACAGCGCACGGACCAACAAACACAACGTCTCGCCGGGCTTATCCAAGTGTAAGTCTACCTACTCANGGAACCCGCGAGAGGCCGTGGGAAAGGCGCCCACTTGCGCCCACTCGGACTCTTCTGGCGGCAAGAGGGGGGCCGGGGGCATGATCCACTCCACATTTTGGTGGCGGAGGTCAAGCGCCCGCAGCCAATCCTCTGCTGCAACCTACCCGTGAGTCAAGTGTAAAGAACAGTTCGGAGTGGAGCGACAAAGACAACGATTTCGAATTTCGAACCAACCCGGGAAGTGTCTATCGAGAGCATTGGACATGCGACAAGACAAAAGGGGCGGTGGTGTCCCCCTCCCCCCCCCTTTTTTTTTTTTTTTTGGAAGAGGAAAAACCCGGGCGCGAAGAACTGACAGCACGGGTTCCCATCAACAAATAAAGGCACACAGCATGATATATATTTCTTTTCGCGGCCCATTTTGTATAGCCGCGTTTGAAATTACGTTACGAAGCAAACGTCGATTCGATGCTGTGTATCCAGGCGTACCGTCGAGAAAACATGACAGCGCACGGACCAACTAACACAACGTCTCGCCGGGCTTATCCAAGTGTAAGTCTACCTACTCAAAGACGGGATTGCTAGCTACGGCGAAGTTGTATTGGTGTTAGTTGGGCGTGCACCACGAGGTACGTCAGCACGCGAGAGGCACAGGAACTAAGTCGGCAAGTGACCATGTGGTATTTCCTAAAACAACCCAAACCCTCACTACTTATAATTAGGTGGGTGTGTGATGTGCGCGTTGGGCACGCAACCCCCAAGGGAAAATGCACCAACGAACGGGATGTGTTTGTGTGGTGTGCACGTGGGCCACGCAATCCCAAAGGAAAAGGGTACCGCCGAATGTCCATATGTAGCATATGCATGAGGCACAAGGTACATAGAATTCAAGACAGCCAGTGACGGACTCTCAAACATTCCCTAGTTTGGAGGGATACCGATCACGGTGCTGCATGCGACGCGGGTGAGGTGTTGTGTTGTGTATATTATCCGCGAACAACACCAGGTACGAGGCAAGAATACGGAACCCAAAGAACGTAAGGGCATCAGGCAGTAGGCAAGAAGAAAGGTCCCTAAGAGACGAAACACCCACCGGCAAGCCAATGGAACTTTGTGTCCACCAAAGGCAGACCCCAGCCGTATTTTGGTAAGAGCAACGCTAAAACGA